GCGCTTTATCACTGTTATGCCTTGTGGTTGGGCTCCTTTCTTACATTTAACCCTATGCTCTCGCTAATCTTGTGAAATTATTAAGATTTATCTGAGTATTTTTCATTATATACAGATATGATATCCCACTCGAGGTCTGTTGGGTCTCGCTATCGAAAACAGCGTTTCCCTAGGCCGGATCGTCGTAGAACTGTTGCTGCTTTTGACGCCTCATGCGTTGATGATGATTACGATTCGGGTGACGAAAATTGTTATTCTCTAACTAAGCGCCCGCGTGAACATGATTCTCCTAACCTGCCTATGAACAGATCAGTCAAACAGGGCCTAAAAAGTATAGAAACTAAGACTGCTGCGGTCCAGTCTTTCTCACGGGTCGATAAGCGGGCAAGGGATGAACATAATGAGCAGGAGAGGAGTAGGCGAAGAGAACTTGCTGTAATATATGAGCTCATCCGATGCAGCTTGGTTCCCGAAGATCTAAAGCGCTTAGACCATGGAAGTCAGGCCAAATCAATCTCTAAGCTTTCTTATCCCCAAGTTTTGCAAATTGCTTATCACGTTGTTAAGGAAGAGCAGCACCACTTGCTTTTGCTTGAACAAACCATAAACGATATTAAGCGCTTGGAGAAGGAGCTTGCCCGTGCCGGCCTTCATGTTCCCCCGAGGCCTCCCTATCCTTCCATAACTGATTGTTACAAAAAGGTTGTCACCGTTGTCGACGAGGTTCTACGACACGATAAAAGGTAAATATCCTTCAAGACGTCCTTTGTCTTATCGGTTGTTGGTCTGACATTTGCCTTAATTTGTTTAGCGCCCGTACCCCAAATGGCGTCTACGATATGACTCCAGCACAGAGAGCCGCTCAGGGTGATGAGGAATTGGTTCGACTTCAAGCACCTCGTTACAACTTTTCATCATGTGATCCTCTTTCTTATAGTTCACTTAGCATACATAGACATTTTTTCATGTCAAACCAAAACGGCAGCAGTCCATATCCTCACCAAACGCAATCCAATTTTTCTAGCATTCACCACCAACCACAGGCGGGCTCCTTCCATTCAATCGCAAATAGTCGGAGTCTTCCG